TCTCCTTGCTCGACCCTTCCAGATGGTCACAGGCTGGGAATGTGTGCCAGTCCTGGGTCTAATGTACAGAACCCCAGCTGGGAATGCGGGAAGTTTGGTTTTGTGCTGTGTCTCTATCAGGAGCCAGGGCAAGCTGCTTACTCTCCTGGGTCCTCAGTGTTCCTTTCTGTAAAATGGGCTACTGCATGCCAGCGGGTGCTGGGTGAATGAAGTGCGAGGACTATTATCAATAATGAGAAAACATTTAATATACGTTACAGTGCATTTCCCAACAATCCTGAGAGGTTGGTGGGGTTTTTTTTTTTCATCCCCATTGACCAGATGAGGAAACCAAGAGCAGAGAAAAAAAGAGACTGGCTTGAGATTACAGAGCTGATAAAAGTGAAACGTCCCAGGATACCACAGGGATGACTTCTCTCTCTCTCTCTCTCTCCCTTTCTTTCGTTCTTTCTTTCTTTCTTTCTTCTTTCCATCCATCCTTCCTTCCTTCCTTCCTTCCTTTCTTTCTTTCTTTCTCTCTCTCTCTCTCTCTCTCTCTCTTTCTTTCTTTCTTTCTTTCTTTCTTTCTTTCTTTCTTTCTTTCGAAGCTCATAGATAGCACTGGGGGTCAGAGAGGTGGGTTGAGCAAATAATAATTTTCTTTATTAAACTCTGTGGGCTCAAGAGAGAACTGGCTCTTATTTTCAGTCGTGAGAATGGTTAGTATTTAGGCCATATTCTTACAAGGCCTGGTGAGGTTTCAGAGCCGGCTGGCACTGTTGAGGGTGAGCAGATTTGATGGGCCCCACTGACCCTGGGTCTGTGTTCCAGAAAACCACCACCGCTTTGACCCGTCCAAGTCCTCTACCTTCCGGAACCTGGGCGAGCCCCTGACCATCGAGTATGGCACGGGCAGCATGGAGGGCGTCCTGGGCTTGGACACCGTCACTGTGAGTAGGGCTTTGGGTCAGCCAGTGCTTCCCTTTCCCTCCTTACGGGCTGCTTTCCTACACAGACACACCAGTGGGCTGCACCTCCTGCCAGTGCTGAAGGGCGCTCTGGGTCCTGCCCCTCTAGGTGGCCTGGTGGGTAAGAATCCTGAGAAGGAGTTCAGCCACCAGCAGCTGTGGGTTGTCGCTCCCTCCTCCTGCCCACGGCAGCCCTCAGAGGTTTCTTCATATCCAGTTTCCATCTTCCCAATCCTTTCTTTCATTTGTCCTTCCCATAGTTAGTTCAGAATCCTGAGCCTGTGCTAGTATTGAACTCTTCCGTGTCATACGTGTGATCTCATTTTAAATCTAGTTTTGCCAACAGCCTATTGAGAAAGGTATTATTATCCCTGTTGTTCAGATGAGGAAACTGAGGCTCAGGCGAGTCGATAACTTGCCTGAAGTCACACAGCTGGTGACCGTGGGAGTTCAGGGTCAGACTCACGTCTCCCACTCCTTGAGCACTGCTCGTGGCTTGAGCTCACTCTTTGTACGTCCTAGATTAGCATCTTCTTTAAAGTCAGAGAGCACCTGTGCCCTCTGGACAAGAGGCCCCCTTCCTCTCACCTCTGTTTGACTCCTGAAGTCCCTAATAGCACAAAGTGAGTGCCCAATGCATGCTGGCTCTTTCTTTCCTTCCTTGCCCACCATCCAAGATGAAAATGCAGCAACACCCCTTGGTATTTATCACCTGATCTTCCTGGTGTTCTTCCTCGGGTCTGGCTGAAGTCTCTTTGGCTTTGAGCCCAAAAGGATAAAGCCTTTCTCTGCTGACAGCCCTCCCCAAAGCCTCTCCCTTTGGCTGAACAGGTGCCTGCCCAACTCAGGCCTCCCCGAGAGTCAGCACCAGACAGCAGAGGCCCCAGAGCCACTGGCTGAGGTGGCCCAGCAGACAGGCCTCTCTGGAAGGCTACGTCCCTTGCCCAGGTGTCTTACATCCTGTGCTGCCTGGAGCCATTTGCTTTCTTTTCTGCTCTTTTGGGTTCACAGAAAAAACCTGCATCTTCACTGGGAGGCTGGCTCTTGCCTGGTGCCTCTGGCTGACCTCAGTCACCCACCATGGGTGGGGTGGGAGCGGGAGCCCAGGGGCCAGGCCCACTCAACTGTGGAAGGGAGGGCAACTCGTGGCATTTGAGGAAGAGAAAGGAAATCAGTGTGGGTGGAGAGGGGTGAGTTAAGGGGCCAGAGGAGTGAGAGGGAGTGTAAGAAACAGGACCAGCGTACAAGCGGACTCTAGGACAGAGGTTTCATCCTGAATGCCATCGGGAGCCTCTGGAAGGGTGACGTGACATGATGTCCATTTTTAAAGATCGCTTTGGCTGCCTGTGTGGAAGATAGGTCAACTGGGGGCAGAGTGGGAGCAGGAGGCCCAGTGAGACACCGGTGGCTTAGAGTAAGCTGGTGCACGTGCGGGCTTTCCAGGGAAGTGAATGGAATAACAGGCTATTTTGGAGTTAGCACTTCCTTAGCAGAGTGCCAATAACTGTTCAATGACCAAACAAGTTCTGGATACATGTTTAGCATTCGTGTTCTTTCGCCTAAGGACAAGTACCGCCCTGAGGTGCAGGTGTTATTATTCCATTAAACAGATGAGGAGGTTGAGGCTCAGAGAGGCACTTGTTCCAGGTCACACAGTCAGTACAGGAGGTCTTTTAGATACAAAGGATGCAAGGGACACACATCTGGGTTCTTTAGATGCAAAACGCATGTGTGTCCTCCCTGTCCATCCACAGCTATTCCCTGGGAAATGACCCCGGTGCAGCCAGTGGGGGCGCTGCAGGCCAGCAGGGGGCCCTGGAGCCTTCCTCACCCCACCCTCTTCTTCAGCTCGTCTCCCAGCTCCTGCACCATGAGCTCTGCTGTCTGCACCCTCCACCGTGTCCTCTCTCTCCCTCCTTTCCTACTCATTGAACCAGTTCCCTCCAAACCACGCACAGAGTTGGGAAGGAGGGCTTTCCTTTTTAAGCTCACATAACCCTGCTGCCTCGCCGAGGGAGGGTGGGCCAACAGAGGGTGACCCAGGACCTCACTACCTCTGGCCAAAAGGCCCCGGGTGGAGGTCACGCTGCTTCTCTTGTAGGTCTCCAACATTGTGGACTCCCACCAGACTGTGGGCCTGAGCACCCAGGAGCCTGGGAACGTCTTCACCTACTCCGAGTTCGACGGGATCCTGGGGCTGGCTTATCCATCTCTTGCCTCCCCGTACTCGGTGCCCGTGTTTGACAACATGATGAAAAAGCACCTGGTGGCCCAAGACCTCTTCTCGGTTTACATGAGCAGGTAGGGGCTGCACCCACCCAGGGCCAGGCTTCCATGGCCTGCAAAGGACTGTCAGCTGAGGATAGTGTCCCCGCCCCCTTGGGGACACTGAAACTCAAGGGTAGTCACCAGCATCCAGGCAAACCTCTCCTTGTTTCCAGGCACATTCAGCCTCTTGTCCAATGGTCCCAACATAGTCACTGATGTTGCCAGAGTCTCCTGGGCCGAAATTTGACTTTCATTTCTGACATTTAGAAAATGAAGCCTGATCTCATCTCTGTATAAGAGTTTTTAACTTTTTTCCGAAGTGGCAGGCCTCAAGAATCATTGGCTGATGTCAATGAGATTTATAAACTTTTAGAGCAGTCTCCAGAGGAGTCCTACCTCTTCCTTCACAATGTGGGAACTGAGGCCAGGAGAGATGATCACCTTGGGAGCTGGTGGCTGAGCCATGCTTGCAGCCCAGGGCTTCTGACTTCAGTTCAGTGGTCCCTCCTCTCTCCGCCTGTCCCCGTGATGGTGCAGCTCAGTGGGACACAGGGGCAGGGGCAGGACGAGAGAAGGGGACCACATCTGGGAGAAGGGGCTGAGTGGCTGAGGTCAGGGGAACCTAGGCAAGGGGCAAATTGGTTCATTCATTCATTCATTCATTCACTCAATAGGTGCTTGTGGGTCCTTACTATGTGCAGGGGCTGTGCCAGGAGATGGGGATAGATCAGCAAACAAGACAAACTGGGCGTTAACTTTTTAGCAAGGGAAACAGACAACATACAATTACACACACAATTATGATTGTGTGTGGAAAGCGCACTGACTGTGGGGGAGATCTGCATGTACTAAAGGCTGACTATAACAGGGGACCCCATTCTACCTGAGGTGTGTATGTAGGGAGGTGGCAGGTGGAGCTTTGCTGGGGCCAAAGTGGGAGCTATCCAGGTGAGACGGAGGGACAGTGCATTTTAGGCAATAGGGACAGCATATGCTAGAGCCTGGGGGTAGGGGGACCTTGATGAGGTCTAGGACCCGGGACAGCAGCGTGGGAAGCAGGTAACACTAGTGTGACAATGTCTCCTGGCCGTGAGACAGAGCCCCAGAAGGAACAGAGGGATTTGGGCTGCGGTGGTTGTTTTAATCCAAAGTGCGTGGGGCCTTGCTGAGGACACTCTCTCCTACTCGAGGCCAAAGGGCTGGGGGCAGAAAACCTTGGGTGGCGGGAGGCAGGGGCGCAGGGCGACAGCTGGAATGCCCAAGGACGGCCTGAGCAGAGCCTGGCAGTCATGTGACCTGCATAGCAGATTGCCTCCTGACCCCCCTCACACAGCTCCCACCTGGGGGAGCTACAGAGCTCAGAGGGAAAGATGCTGCAGCCAGGGTGTTGGGGTGCCACAGCAATCCTGTCCTTGGTTTCAGGAATGACCAGGGGAGCATGCTTACGCTGGGGGCCATTGACTCATCCTACTACACCGGCTCCCTGCATTGGATCCCTGTGACCGTGCAGGAGTACTGGCAGTTCACCGTAGACAGGTGGGTGACTGGCAGCTGTGGGCCCCAGCCAGACAGTGTGGGGATGTTGAGGGCCAGGTGTCAGCCCACGAGGCTCTGAGGACTGCAGCCCGGTAGCTCTTAAGATGGTCACATCAGAGTCTGAATGGCCAGTGGCCTATGACAGTGAGAATGTTGTACCTTCACCTGTTCTTTACTAATAAGACGAGCTGTGTTTATGGAGAGCTTACTACCTACTAGGCATTATGTTGAGTGATAATATGACTCTCGTTTAGTCCTCACGAAAACCCTATGAGGTGGGTGCCATTATTCTCCTCATTTTATAATTTACTACCGTCGAGTTTGAACCATACAACCGTCCCTTGAGCAAGTCAAGGAAGGGCTTGTTAATGTACCCATTTTGTGAATGAGAAGGCTGAGGGCAGGAAGGTTGAGTAACTTGCCTAAGACATGCAGCAAGTAAATGGCAGGGAGAAAACCTGAAACCAGATCTTTAGGCAACTAGTACAGTATTTATCCCACCCCTAATGCGCGTGACTGCTGTTTTATTGCAGTTTGTGTCCCGTAGAAGGTGGGGCAGCTTCATTCAGCCACTGAGCTGGGAGAAAATGGTTTCAGATCTTGTCTCTGAGCTCAGGAAGTTATGGGGACTGCAAAAAGGGGTCCAAGGGAAAGGGTCTGGATGTTTGGGCTTCCTCTCCTGTCCGAGGATCCTGGCAGGGGAGGCTAGGAGGGACCCAGGGAGGAAGGGCTGGATACTGGACGCACTGTAGGCCATCCTCTGTCCCATCTGCAGCGTCACCGTCGATGGCGTGGTGGTGGCCTGTGACGGCGGTTGTCAAGCCATCCTGGACACGGGCACCTCCATGCTGGTCGGACCCAGCAGCGACATCCTCAACATCCAGAAGGCCATTGGAGCCACCCAGAGCCAGTATGGCATGGTGAGGCCAGGCCCATACCCTCCTCCCCAGAGCCTCCTAAAGATGGGGCCCCTTTGCACATGGAGGAAATGACAAAAGGAAATGGTGAGGGAACCTGTTTCCCCACAGAGGTTGGGATTTCTCCGGAGGTCTTGACAATGGCCTTCCGGCCGTGACCAACTCTTGTCCCCAGGTCTCATGCAATGGCCACAGCCTGACCTCTTGTCCCCAGGAGGGTTGTGCATCCCTGATGGTTGAATTTGGCTGTGGCCCCTTGTTCCTCCTCTACTCACTGGTCTCCCTCCTCTTCCCTCCCTGACAGCTAAGTGCTCCCAATGTCCTTGGGGGCTCTGACTGTGCCTGGAGGGGAAACACCAAGGCAAACAAACCCTGCTTTGTCCCAAGCTGGGGTCTGTCCCTGGGTTGGCTGACAATGGGTCCCCCTCAATGTGACTCTTTTGAGGACCACGTCTTGGGACCAAGTCCCAGCCTGAGTGCCTCCCTAAGGTCCTCTGGGATGGCAGGCACCTCCCTGTCACTTGGTTTCCATTGCATAGGAAAGGGTCCTGCTGGGACCTTCTCTGCCTCTTCCAGTCAGCTCGCACCCATCACACTTTTAGAAGGACCTCTCTCTGGTCTTTAAAAAAAATTATTATTTATGAAAGAATAGTTGCCACACAATATTATATTAGTTTCAGGTGGACATCATAGTGATTTGACAACTTGTATATACCTTCTGATGTGATCACCACCATAAGTCTAGTTACCATCTGTCACCCTTTAAAGTTATTACGATATTATTGACTATTTTCTCTATGCTGGACATGGTGTTCCTGGGATTCATTTATTATATAACTGGAAGTTTGTACCTCTCAATCCCCTTCATCTTTTGCACCCATCCTCCCTACCCCCCTCCCCTCTGGCAACCATCAGTTTGTTCTCTGAGTCTGTGAGCCTGTGTTTCTGTTTTGTTTTGTTTATTCATTTGTTAGTTTGACATCAACTGCGGGAGCCTGAGCACCATGCCCACGGTGGTCTTTGAGATCAACGGCAGAAAGTACCCACTGCCCGCCTCTGCCTACACCAGCCAGGTATGAGTCTCACGCGAGGGTGCCCAGGCTCCCCTAGCTTATTCCTCCTCCCTCCTGGCAAGTCACTGAGGTTGGTGGTAAGTGGCAGGTCCTAGATGGAAAATACAGGATGTATGTTTAGACAAACTGGTCCTTCTGAGTGGGGGCTTGTTGTCCTTGGGCCTCATTTGTGGCTGCTACAGGCTCATTGTGGGAGAAATGGAGCAGGTGGGAAGGATAGAGCCCAGCAGTTTGAGGGGGACAGGGTAGGCAGGACCACAGCCCCTCGTGCGAACCTCCACACACTGCTCTAACTGCTAAGTCTGGGGAGCTTGAGCTCTGCCTGGAATTTTCTTAGATAGCCTGGGCTCTGTGGGGACCCAGCTCTCATCCCCACTGATCTGCTGGCTTCAGCTTTGACCTAAACCTAAGCACCTCAAACTAGCAAGGCCTTGGGCCCCCAGTCGTGTTCTGGCCGGTCATCAGGACAGTAGGTAATGACAGTTGGAAGGCATGGGGCTGGAGAGGACAAGTGAGGAGGAATGGGGTAAGGGGACCTTACCAGGTGATCTTGGATTAAGTTACTTTATTTTTTGAACATCAATTTCTTCACCTGTTGAGTGAGATGAATCTGATACTTGTTTGCCTACCTTAGAAGGTGATTTCAAGGATGAAAGTAAACACTAGATGAGAAAGTAATTGGGGGTGGGGTGGGGTAGGAAAAGGCCTACTTGGGTTAAGGAAAGGCGACTGGGGTTAGAACCAGCTCCATCTCAGTCTTGCCTTTGACAGGACGCGGACTTCTGCACCAGTGGCTTCCAGGGCGACGATAACTCCGAGCAGTGGATCCTGGGGGATGTTTTCATCCGGGAGTATTTTAGCGTCTTTGACAGAGCCAACAACCGTGTGGGGCTGGCCAAGGCCATCTGACTGCACCGCTGACCATGGACCACGCTGCCCCAAACACACACACTTGCACGCGTGCACATGCACATGCGTGCACATGCATATCATGTTTTCAGGCAGATGGTTCTCAATAAATATCACATCGCTGCAAAGACTCGTTTTTCTTAGGGCTGAAGCCCTGAGTGGTTATGGGGGTGGGGCATTATTGCCACATGGTGTGTCTGGCAGAGCTGGGGGCACATCGGTGGGGGAGGGTTGGGGACACTGTGGATGGGTGGAGACTTTCCCAAGGGAATTGGTCATTTCAAGCTCAGGTCAGCTAAAACCAGGTGTGTCTTGCTTTTCTGCCTTCCCACTCTAGATCTTTCTAAGGAAAGGGTACAGCAGGGGAGACCATCGCAGGATGAGATTTATACCTCGGGGGCATGGGCTTGGGGTTTGAGAGCACTGAGTAGAGAACACTGACCTAGGGAGAGAAAGGCTCTGGGTCTGTTAAGAGAAGGGCCTCGCTGCCACTAGAAACAGTTCAGGGAATAGGCAGAAGGCAGCTGGGAAAGTCTGAGAGCCCTGAGGTTGCCATGACCTTGGGGAAGAACCACAGCCCAGAGTTCCATCCTCAGTTTTAGAGGCTCCAAACCTGACTTGCTAGCGTCTGGAGAGCGGCTCCATCACTTCATTGAAAAAGTTAGTCTTTTCCCCAATAGGGGGCTGAACAATTGATCAGGCTTCTGGGGCCATGTTGTTCTTGCACCCCTGTCTCACCTTATCCTGACCACACTTGCCCTGCTAACAGCTGAGGAGCAGGTGGGTCCTGCAGCAGTCTCAGAAAGTCTGACGTAGGTTTGTCCACAACACTTCACAAAGGAGACTGTACTTTATAAAGAGGTGTGTGTGTGTGTGTGTGTGTGTGTGTGTGTGTGTGTGTGTGTAGGGGCGGCTCCCAGCAGGAGCCGCAGATGTAGTCCTGTTGACAGATCCCTCTGGGTGCATCTCATGGGGTCTTTCTCGGCTAGACCCAAAAACAAACAAGAAGAAGGACGCCAGGCAGTGGGGATGCTGTCTGCAGTGCTTGTTTGGGCCTGTAGCCACAAACAAGCCACCAGCGCTGGTCACAGAGGTACTGGTGGCCTCTGGCAGGAAAAAAGCAGGTCTGGTTGTGGGGGATGCGACATGGATGAGAGGGCTCAGGAGGCAATCTATGGTGACCTGAGGATCCTGGGGTGGGTTGGGGCAGAGGTTACCACAGAACATTCCAGGCCTTCGAGGACAGACGGCAGTGGGCCTTGGTGTTTGAGCCTTACAGGGTCAGGGAGGCAAGCACGGTGCTGAGGAGTAAGTGCTGGCACTGGGAAACTTCTCCAAGCCTCACTTTTCTTATCTAAGACCAATATTGTCTGTTTGCCAAGAATGAGACAGAACTGGGCCATTTTCATTATTTTTAGGCTTCTTGTAGATTAAAAAAAAGTGCGGAAAAGCTCACAAAAATTGTGTCATATTTCAATGGTTCGTGCTTAACAAATTGTGCTTTAAGCATCCAGACCTCAACTGGAGATAATGTAGAAAGTCTAAATATGATAACTTCCATAAATGGGAAGCTTGGGCTAAATGGTCCCCACCGCACTCCTCGGCCCACACTGGGCCCACCTGGCCCAGTGACCATCCCTGCCCTGAAAGGACAGTGACCATCCCATGAGGCAGCTTCCTCCTGGGGCTAGTGGGATATGGGCAGCCCCACTTCTGCTCCTGGGGGCTCAGCAGCAGAGATGCTCTTTCTATACCCCAGCCCCTTTGATGACTTTTAATTATCTTCCAAACTTCACCTCAGTCCAAATCTCTTCAGGACGCTCCTGACCAGGCTGAGGTGGTGCCTTCCTCTGTGCCCCCACTCTCCTCAGTGTAATGCTTCGTATTCTAACACTTATTTCCTTGTCCGTCTCCATCATGGACTGTGGGCTTTCTGAGGACACATACTGTGCTCCTCTCTTTTTGATACCTCGGGTGCCTAACTCATGGAATGCTCCCATCAAGTACTGTTGAAGGAAGGAAGGAAGGTGGGAAGGAAGGATGGACTCAGTCAGCAGGGTCCTCAAGAACCACACCATTTGCTGCCAATGTCCTTTTTCCTTTTTCCTCACCCTCCACCTCAGGCCCGCTCTGCATCTTCTCCTTCCCATTCCTGAGCCCAGAACATTCCCAATCCTTTGGCATTTCTGGGAAATGGTTCAGTGCATGTGAAAGAGGAGGTGGCCAAGCTGCCTCCAGGGTTTTAAGGTTCTGCCAAGAGGCCCACATTCTGCACCGGGCCCAGATCTCTGTGGAGCCTGCAAGGGGACGAAGGGGCCTTGGGAGGGGCCGTTTTTCAGCACATTTGCTATTTGCTTGTGAAGAGGGGCAGCCTGGAGACCGGTGGGAGCTGTGATGCTGGGAGGGTCCTCTGCAGGGTCAGATTGACTCATTTCCTGGCCTCTCCTCATCTCTGCCTGCTGATGAGAACCAGGGCAGGGAGAGGGCAGCTGAGGAAGCCTCGTGTTGGGTGGGAAGCCCACCTTCTTTCCTTCCTTCAACAGTACTTGATGGGAGCATTCCATGAGTTAGACACACACGCATACACAGACACTCACGTCCATATACGGTGCATTTACTGCCATGTGCCTGCTGCCACGGCCTCACCCAACACCCTGCAGGGCTGGCCTCTGGGCCTGGCTCACGCCCTTCCCTTTACCTGCTATCCACTCTCTCCAGCCTGTGAACTGCTTGCTCTTCATCCTTCAAGACCAGCTTATGCGTCCTCTGGGGTAATGCCCCCCACTCCACCTCACTCCCATCTTCCCACTTCCTAGTTGCTGAATTTACCCTGTTGAAGTTACTCACAGGTTGGTTTCTCTGGCAAGTCTCTGACGGAGAGCACCTGAGTCTTTTCTCTGACTCTTTAGCACCCAGGGGAGTTCCTAGCACACCGTGGGGGCTGAGAAAGTGCCAGAGAAGGGTTTATGCCTGGTGACATGCGCGCGCAAATCTCTGTCCAGCTGGCATGAATCATGAATGCTGAGAAATGTGAGCTCATGTAGATACGAGTACACACACAGAGACACGTATGTACACACGTACACAGACAGACACACACGCACAGACAGACACACACGCATACACAGACACACACGCACACAGGACCCCTCCCCACAGTACCTGCCAAGCCCAGTGCCCCGTTCTGTCCCTGCATAGCCTCAGGCAGTGTCCTCAGGTGGAGAGCCCATTTCTACTTTTTCTCCTTCCTTGTCACTCAGCTTTCCTGCCAGTTCTCCTGCTAATTAGAGGAAGCATTTGGCCAGAGGAAGCTTGGAAAAGGAGTCTTTGAAATGGAAATGTTATGACAAAATGATGGATTGTTTTCTGAGCTGTGCCGTTTGTTTCTTGCTTGCAGCAGAAGGGAGAATAGAGCTGAGACAGGAGTGGTAGAAGTTGCCTCTTGTCAGAAAGCCCTGGACAGCCAGAAATGCAAGTGAAAAGAGCAGAAAGCAGGGAGTGGGAACATGGGGTGAAGGACGTGGCCTGGCTACTGCCCAGTAGCCCTGGTCATGGCTGGGGGCCCTGAGTGGCCAGGGCATGCAGCGGCTTCCTGCTGAGGGACATCTGGTCTGTCGTTCTGTCGCGGTCACACCCAGCACTCTGCAGGGCTGACCTCTGGGCCTTTGCTCATGCTGACCCCTTTGCCTGAGGCCCCTGTCCACTTGTTCTCACCTGTGAACTGCTCCGCATCCTTCAAGTCCTGCTTAAAGTTTACCTCCTCTGAGAAGACTGCACATGGTGTCCACTTCACCCAAACCCTCCAAACCACAGGAGTACTCGCTGGCTGACCCCAGGCCACTTGGTTTACTCGGAACTAATTAGAATTGTCACCGGTCTTATTTATTAAAGAGTATGTTTTGAGAACCTACTGTGTGAAGCATTGTTCTATGCATTGTGTCCATCAGTGAACACAACAGATGGACCCCTCCACCCTCATGGAGTTCTGTGGGGGACACAGATGATGGAGATAATAAATGTGTAAACCGTGTAGCATATTTGATGGTTTTAAGCATCATGGGAAAAAGCAGAGAGGTGAAGATGACTGAGAATGCTGGACTTTCATGCTTTATAACAAAGTGGGAATGGTCGGCGTCAGAAGGTGAATTAAGCCAAGATGTGAAAGAGAGGGTAAGGCTTGCAGCTATGAGGGAGGGATGAGAATTACAGGTAGAAAGAACAGTGTGTGAAGATTAATCAGCACTTAATAAATAGAAGCTACCAGTAGGTAAATATGGATACGTTAATTTATGTCTCTTATCATTCTAATGAGATGGACCCATCTTTGAGGGCAGGAGTCACAACTCAATCATTTTTGTATCCTTCATAGCATTTCGTATTTCACAGAGTAATTGTTCAGTAGATGCATGTTGAATGAATAAACAAACTCCGAACTGTCCTTGTCTAAACTACTCCACAGGGCAAGGGCTGCACACTCAGCTTTTGTCCTGGAGTGCCCTCTAGTGACCTAATCTCAAATGCCAGCTTTGTACACCTTGTTTTATATCCTGCAACTTCCCTCCTCCCCATCCCAGGTCCCCAGGGCAGTGGCCAACCAAACAACAGAATTTACTAAGTGACTACTATGCACACGGCACAGTGCCAGCTTGTGTAGAAGGCACAGACACAGGAGACGTGGTCCCTTCCCTCAAACTGTTACCAAACTCAGATTTGGTGCCGCTTGCCGCCCAAAGAGTCCAAAAAATAGAGTGACAAAGGTTGGTAAGGAGAAAAGCTCTTTATTCTAGATGCTGGCAGCTTGGAAAGATGGCAGACTCATATCTAAAACGCCACCTTCCCTGAGCCAAAATGATTAAGAGGTTTTATAGGCAGGTAAATGGGAAAGAACAGAGGAAAGCAGGCCTCGGGGCTAATAGTTGAGAAGTCGTCTCCTGGGGTCTTCTGAGGCCTCAGGTCTGTCTCAATGTTATCTTAAATCTCATTCTCTGTAGCCATCTACTGAAAAACTGCTAGG